ACTGGCTTGTGCTCAGGTTTCCAGGGCAATTTTCTTCCAGCTTGGGGAAGGACGGCAGCCTGGAAGATGACGAGAATGAAGATGAAGACTTGGGCGAAGGCGTCGGGGGCAAGTGCCGGAGCATGGAGGTGAAACCCACCCAGGCCTCCCACAGCAACTACCTGCTGATGAGGCGCTACGGCTCCCCCGGCATCGTCAGCACCCGCAACCTCAACCCCAACGACAGCATCGTGGTCAACTCCTGCCAGATGAAATTCCGGCTCTGTTGCACCCCTGTGCCCGTCCGGCTCAGGCTCGCTGGTGAGTGCTCCCACTGGCACTGGGGGAGGACCCAGAGGCCCAGGCTGGGATCTAAACCATCAGGCTCCCCAGGCCAGGCATGCAGCCACAGGACACACAGAAAAACACACCTCAGGTGTGCCTGTGCTGCGCCCACACCTCTGTGCGGGAGCTCACCAACAGTGCCTGTCTTTTAGTCACAGCTGTGCCACGGGCGCCCGCAGGCAGGCAGGCAGCCAGGCTCACAAGGAAGAGCAGGGCACTCCCACCTCCCCGCCCTGCCCACTCTCCACGCACGGCCCTGTCACTGCCCAGGCTCTAGTCTCCTGGTGCTTAGCTCTGTAACTCCACAGCGTGCACCCTTAGGAACCTTTTAGGTCTTACCTTTTGACCCTTTGCCAGGAAACAGGAGTATTCCACTCACATTCATGATCTCTTACCTCCTTAACTTCCAGTTTTGACCCTTGGTTCTATCGATGATCTTTGAAACTTTATCTTTTATTTATTTAAAACGATTGAGATGGGAACTCGCTAGGTTGCCCAGGCTGGCCTCAAACTCCTGGCCTTAAGTGATCTTCCCTCCTCCACCTCCCAAAGTGCTGGGATTACAGGCGTGAGCCACCACACCAAGCCTATTTTTTAGAAACAGGCTCTTGCTCTGTTGCTCAGGCTGGAGCACAGTGGCATGATGATAGCTCACTGCCACCTCAAGCTCCTGGGCTCAGGTCATCTTCCTGCCTCAGTTTCCTAGGTAGTAGTTTGGTGTGTGCCACCATAACCAGCTAAGTTGTAAATTTTTTGTAGAGACGGGGCCTCTACAAAAGGCCAGGCTGGTCCAGGCTGGTCTCAGGACTCAAGGGATCCTCCCGCCATGGCCTCCCAAAGCTCTGAGACAGCAGGCATAACGCATGCCCTACCTAGTGTATACAATATTCTAAATCCTTTGTTGCCATTTCAACAGTGTTCTCAGCATCTTTACCAGGAGTAGTTTCTATGTCAAGAAACACAAGAAACCACCTTTGCTCATCTTTAGGAAGCAGCTCATCTGTTCAAGTTTGATTCTGAGATTGCAGCAATTCCATCCCTTCCTCGGGCTCTGCCTCTGGTTCTAGTTCTCTTGTTATTTTCACTGCATCTGTGGCTACTTTCTCCACTACAGATTTGAACCCTCAGAGTCATCCATGAGGGTGAGAAGCAACGTCTTTCAAACTCCTGTTGATGTGGGTATTCTGACCACCTCAAAATAGAATGGTGACCCTTTTCCAGAAGATCTTCAATTTACTTTGTCCAGATCCATCAGAGAAATCATATAGTAGCTATAACCTTATGAAATGTATTTCCTTCTCTCTCTCTTTTTTTTTTTGAGACAAAGTTTCACTCTTGTCGCCCAGACTGCTGTGCAATGGTGTGATCTCGGTTCACTGCAACCTCCGCCTCTCAGGTTCAAGTGATTCTTCTGATTCTCCTGTCTCAGCTTCCCGAGTAGCTGGGATTACAAGCGCCTGCCACCACACCTGGCTAATTTTTGTATTTTTAGTAGAGACGATGTTTTACCATGTTGGCCCATCTGGTCTCAAACTCCTGACAGGTGATCCACCCACCTCAGCCTCCCAAAGTGCTGGGATTACAGGTGTGAGCCACCGTGCCTGGCCACAAAATGTATTTCTTAAATAAGACTTGAAAGTGAAATGACTCCTTGATCCATGGGGTACAGAATGACTGTTGTGTTAGCAGGCATGAAAACAGTGTTCATCTCCTTGAACATCTCCATCAGAGCTCATGGGTGACCAGGGGGCATCATTAATCAGCACACTGTTTTGGAAGGAATTTTTTTTTTTTTTTTGAGATGGAGTTTTACTCTTTGCTCTCCAGGCTAGAGTGCAGTGGTGCAATCTTGGCTCACTGCACCCTCCTCCTCCCAGGTTCAAGCGATTCTCCTGTCTCAGCCTCCCAAGTAGCTGGGACTACAGGTGTGTGCCACCACACCTGGCTAACTTGTGTATTTTTAGTTGAGATGGGGTTTCACCATGTTGGCCAGGCTGATCTCAAACTCCTGACCTCAGATGATCCACCCGCCTCAGCCTCCCAAAGTGCTGGGATTACAGGCATCAGCCACCACACCTGGCCAAGAAATGTTTTTTATCTGAGCAGTAGGTCTCTAGAGTGGGCTTAAAATATTCAGTAAGCCATGTTGTAAACAGACGTGCTGTCATCCAGCTTTACTGTCCTATTTATAGAGCACAGGCAGAATAGATTTAGCATAATTCTTAAGGGCCCTAAGACTCTGGGGATGGGAAATAAGCATTGGCTTCAACTCAAAGTCACCAACTGCATTACTTCTTAACAAGAGAGTGGCCTGTCATTTGAAGCCTTGAAACCAGGTGCTGACTTTTCTTTGTACCCATGAAAGTCCTAGATGGTGTCTTCCAAGATAAAGCTGTTTTGTCTACAGTGAAAATCGGTTTAGTGTATACACCTTCACACTGATCCTGGCTGGACCTTCTGGACGACTTGCTATAGCTTCTCCATCCACACTTGGTGCTTCACCTTATACTTTTGGTTATGGAGACGGCTTCTTAAGCTTCATGAACCAACCTCTGCCAGCTTTCACCTTGTCTTCTGCAGCTTCCTCACCTCTCAGCCTTCATAAAATTGAAGAGACTTAGGGGCTTGCTCTGGATTAGGCTTTGGCATAAGGGAATGTTGTGGCTGATTTGATCTATCCAGACCGCTGAAACGTTCTCCATGTCAGCAGCAAGGCTGTTTTTGCTTTATTATTGTTTGTGTGTTCTCTGGAATAGCACTTTGAATTTCCTTCAAGAGCTTTTCCTTTGCCCTCACAGCTTTGACTCACGTTGGCTTTCAGCTGTCTTGGCTGTCACCATGCTTTCCTCACAAACCCTCATCATTTCCAGCTTTTGATGTAAAATGAGAGATGTCCAACTCTGCCTTTCACATGAACACAGAGGGGCCATGGTAAGGTTATTAATTGGCCTGATTTCAATATTGTTGTGTCTCAGGAATAGGGAGCCCCAGGAGAGGGAGGGAAGCAGGAAATGGCTGGAGTTGTCAGAACACACATGACATTTATCAGTTAGGTTTGCTGTCATGTGGGTGTGGTTCATGGTGCCCCAAAGCAATTACAGTGGTAACGTCAAAGATCGCTGATCACAGGTCACCGTCGCAGATGTGATAATCATGAAAAAGTGGAGATATCATGAAAGTTACCAAAGCATGGCAGACACAGATGGAGCACCTGGTGTTGGGAGCATGGCACTGGTAGGCGCTCTCAATGCAGACCTGCCACAAACCTTCAGTATGTAAAAACAAACCCAAAAACACAATATCCATGAAGCACAATAAAGTGAGGTGCTTGTGAAGCTGATGGTGTTCATTATATGTTTTGTAACCACAATTAGAATTCTGTACTTTGTCTGGAGTTTGGACTGGGCAAAAATGCAGTGGTAACCTACCGATTATGGCCTTAGCAGAGACGTCTTCCACAGGAAGCAACAGAAGCCAGCGTGGGAAATGTAGGAGTCCCCGGTCAGAGACTCCCACCAGAGCACTGGGCTTTACAGTTCTCGAACCCCAGTCCTCGGCCTCTGAGCAGGAAAATCGTAGTGGCCAGGAGAAATCCAGTCAGCTGTCGTCAGGGACCTAGGGTCACGGATGAGGAACCTGACTCCCAGGGACCCAACCTGTCCACCCAGCAGGTGAGCCCTATGTGCTGGAGCGTGCCTTTCCTAAGTGTGGCCTGTGCGTTGGTCAGGGGAGGAAGGCCTCTGTCGGGTTGCCTCTGATCTCCCTCTGTGTCCTCCCAGCCGCTCCTCTGGAAGAGCTAACAGTGGGAACCTCCTGCCTCCCTGACACGTTCACGAAGCTGATAAACCCCCAGGAAAACACCTGCAGCTTGGAAGAGTTTGTCCTCCGGCTGGAGCTCTCTGGGTATAGTTCCGAAGACCTGACTGCCTTGGAGATCCTGGAAGCCATTGTAGCCATGGGTTGTTTTGGGATCGACAAGGAGGAGCGGCGCAGACGGTTCTCGGCTTTGGAGCAGCCAGGTGGTGGGCGTACCAGGACGTTCGCAGACTGCGTCCAGGTGAGCTGTGATGTAGCTTAGCCGGATGTCACTGAAGCTGGAGTTGCAGCTCCCAAGCCAGGTGCACGCTGAGGATGGGCTTGATGTGGGGCATAGCACGGTGCATTCTTTTTAAGCATTGAATTAGTCGTTAACGTTTGAAAACTGGGGCATTTCGCGTTTGCTTTGAGGGTGCAGCTGTGGCTTTCTGAAGGTCACACAGCTGACATGGTTCGGGAGCAGCCAGGCTGAGCCTAGAGAGGAAGAGAGGCTGCTCCACAGCACGGGGCTAGAAGGGGCAGCCCCGGGGCTGGGAGCTGGGCCCGCCTCGTGGACCTGCTGCTCAGAGACTTAACCCGCCGGACAGGGGAAGCCACTCTGCTCGTCCCCCATCACCAGCGAGGAGGATCCCTGGCTCTCCACAGACTGCACCTGTCTCCTGCCCCCGCAGGCCCTCCTGGAGCAGCAGCAGGTGCTGGAGGTTGGCAGCAGCACTGTGCGCCTGGTGGCCATAGGCTCTGCCTGGCCCTGGCTCCTGCACTCTGTGAGGCTGAAAGACAGAGAGAAGGACACCCATGCCCAGAGAGAAGACCCTCAGGCCAGACCCCTGGAGGGGTCTTCCAGCCAGGACGGCCCTCCTGTGGAGCAGGCACCCGCTTCTCACAGCCCCCAGGGCACCAAGAGGTACGCCATAAGGGCCAGTGAGATCAGGGAGAACCCTGCCAAGAGGCCAGCGCTCCAGGACTCAGACTTGGCCCCCAGCCTTGGGCCTGGAACAGAGGACTGTCCGACACCCCACCTGTGCTTTCCGTCACTTCCCTGATGGGCCCCACACCTTCCTCCCAGATAGGGGACCTGCCACTGGCACAAAAGGGACTTGATTTCAGCTTCTCAGAGCCTGAGCACTGCGGGGAGGATGCTGCCTGTAAATGCATTTCCAGGGGAGGGCAGAGGCCTCCCACGCCCCAGGCAGCGCTGTGAGTTCCGGAGCAGGAGCTCAGGCGGTGGGTCTGGCGTGTGTGCCACAGCCGCTGCTGCAGGGCAGTGACGGTGTGGGGGTCTCGCCTTCCTTGGGTGGCAGCACGCCCTTTCCTCTCCTGAGTCATCTGTCATCAGCAGCGGACTTCTCATGTGGCTTCCCTGGGCGTTTTTGTTTCCTTTGGGGTGTTTTTGCCTCGGGTTTTATACCACCCTTGTGGTCAGGGCTTCTGGGTGGGAAATGAGGGGTTCACTGGCTTCCTCCGGTGTGGGGCTTGTCTGGGCGTGGGGCGCTGTCTGAGGCAGTCTCCCATCTGCGCGACCTCCAGGGTGGCCACTCTGTGAGGAGATGATCATTGTCCTTTTTTTGACACTACATTCTTGAACCTCGAGGTGCCCAGCTCATGCTGGGTGCTGGGTACCATGCTGAACGTGGGGAGGCAGAGATGGCTTCCCTGCCTTTCTAAGCCTCTCACATCCTCCTCCTCTTCCCTCAGGGTTCACAGAGAGTTTTGGAGCCAGCAGCATCTCCCAGACAGTGCAGGAAAGGTGAATGTGGGGTTCTGGCTCCGGGGCCTGGGGTGGGGGCTCTTGACCGGGCCTGAGTGTAAGGATTTGCTTGAGGGTCTTTGAGGGTCTCTCCCCAGGTCCCGGCTCTGACAGCCTGCCCAGCACCGTGCTTCTCAGCAGGGCCACTTAGGGGGGTGCAGTGGGTGAGCAGCAGGTGTGCTGGGCGCTGGCAGCACCCAGGTCAGCTTGGAACGAGCAATGTGCTTCCAGGATGCCCAGGGCGCTGGCAGAGAACCACGCCTGGCACCGTCAGCTGCGCCTCCCCGCCGAGCTCCTTACGGCTCACAGGCCGCTCACCCACTCCTGCAGATGAGCCGAAGGTCCACAGAGGGATAAGCCCTGAACGCCTAGCTGCCCCCAGGGATAGCTGTGCCCCAGAATTAGAGGAGGCAAGGGTGCCGCAAAAGCCCCTCTGGTAGGGGTGCCTCCCATGAGTGTGTGTGCTGACCCTGGATTGGCAGGGCCCAAGTGCCCTGTATTCTGGCTTTCAGGAGCTTAGTTGTGCCCCCGCCAGGACCCAGCCATGGTGATGACAGCCAAGTGTCCAGGTTTTCTGGGTCCACCCCGCTCCTGGGCCCCGGGTGACTGTTCAGTCACTGATTTAGTAGCAGAAATGTCTGTTCCAAGGAAAGGGTGCCCAGAACCCTGCACACGGCACGGAGCAAAGCTTCAGGGTTACGCTCCTGTGAGCTTCGCCAGAGGCTGAGGGTGGCTGCTGCCCGGGCTGCCAGCAGAGCTGGCAAATCCAGGAGTCCCTACCCTTGGCCCCCTCCTGCCAGTGTGATGGGACCTGGGGCCTCGGTTATAGCTGCATCTGTGCAGAACCCCACATCGTGGTTCCATCCAGTTGGTGGTTATGGGTACCCCCCCATCCAGACAGGAAAGAAGCAGGGAGTTTGGAGAACAGAGAGTAGGAGGTGGCCAATCTTAGCCCTGTGACCTGGGCAGGACCTAGGATAGCCCCAAGGCTCAGTGTTCTGTCTGAACCAGATGCCCTCTTGCCCCTGCCAAGCCCTGACGCCAAGCCCTCGCCCTGCAGGGACTGTGAGAGCGATTCCTTCATCGGCTGGCCATGGCATGTTGTGGACGGCCATCTGAACCTGCCTGTGTGCAAGGGCATGAGGGAGGCCGTGCTCTACCACATCATGACCAGGCCTGGCATCCCCGGGAGCTGCCTGCTGCACGACTACCAGGGGGCTCTACAGCCCGTCGCCGTGCTGGAGCTGCTCCAGGTGAGAGGTCTTCCCAGGCTCAGCAGGGGCTGGAGGCGGCTGGGTGGACTCGAGGGTCCGGCCGTGATGTGCAGGCTCCAGGCGGCATGCAGGACCACCATACTGCTTACCTGCACCTCCTCCCCCAGCCTGTCCTGGGCTGTCCCTCAGTGTCCTTTAGCTGCTCCATGCTGCAGGCCAGGCTGGAAGATGGGGCGCCTGGGGTGCTTGTCTCTGATGCTTTCTCTATGCGAGGGGTCACTAACTCACGAGCTCACAGGGCCCCCAGGTCAAGGAGCTGCGCCCTGGTGTGGCTGCTTCCTGCTCGGCTGACAGCTGCTCTGTGCTCCCAGGGCCCAGCGTGGCTGAGGCCTCCAGCTCCTTGGGCATCTAGGAGCTTGAAGTTCAATGTCAGATTCCCCACGGGCCAAACAAAACCTCACCTGGAAGCCAGTCTTGGCTCACAGGAAGCTGGGATGCAGCCCCACTGCAGGCCTGCATGACATTCAGCATGGTGGCCACACGCTCAGGCCACTGCCTCTCCCGCCAGGGCCTTTGCCTGAACCCTCCTGGTACATCCCCACTTGCCTCATGGTCGGTTCAGGTGCCCCCTGCTCTGGGAGTGGCTTCCTAGTACAAAGAGTTCATTCCATAAACGCTTGAAGAATAATCAATAAGCAGGTGGCGTCGCGCCCTTATAACCTGTGTGCCTGGTGTCCTGCAGGGCCTGGAGTCCCTCGGCTGCATCCGGAAGTGCTGGCCGTGAAAGCCGAGGACCATCTCACTCTTCCCTACACCTGTGGTGGAAGAAGTGGAGGCGCCCTCTAGCCTGGGCGAGAACCCCATGGCCTTCTACCAGCCCACCTTGGACTATACTCTCCGGCTGGGCCATGTGTTTCCCCATGAGGTCAACTGGAACAAGTGGATCCACCTCTAGGACCCCTGTGGGGGTCCTCTCCTCCCAGCCACTGCCTGCCATGCCACCCTGCCTGGTGCTGGGCAGACGCCACCGTGCCCCGGCCTTGGGTCTGCCGAGCCTCCTGCAGCAGGGGACGGGTGCTCTGGCCAGAGCCACAGCCTGACACGTTTCCCACTCTCCTGGAACTCTGGAAAGAGGGGCTTCTCCACCTGCCAGTGCCCCAGGCTCTTCTGGGCCTGGCCCTTGGGGACTGGCCTCATCACACCGGGAATTGGTAATCTTGTCTCGGGGTCTCTGGAGTTGGCCCTGCCTGTGCACACCTCACATTCCAGGCTCCAGCCATCAAGGCAGGGTCTCCTGGCTCCTTGAGAGCCCGAGTGCTACTGAGAGCAAGGGCCTTGTGGGGTACGCCTTGCAGAAGAGGGGCAGTGTGCCCAGCTGCCCATGGGGACTGTGGTGCCTCCCCAGGCAGGACATCCCAACCCCTGGGTGGGACTGAGACCCCCAGAGCAGAGCCTGGGGCTTCCTTTCTGGCCTGTGAGTCACCTGGCAGGCCCGGCTGGGCTGGCTCTCGTGTCCCTCCGCCTGGCTGCTGATTCCCTGTGGGCCAGAAATGAGTCCCTGTAGGTTTTGGTTTTGTTTGTTTTATTTTGTTCTTTCACCTTTTTTCCTCATTAAAAAAAAAAAAAAAAGTCCCTGTGGAGTGGATTTATTTATTTTTTGATTAAAGGGAAGTAAAAATCCATTCTGTTTTGTGTGTTTCCTGAAGAACCACTGATTCCCCTAGGGGACTCCCTGCTTTCGCTGCAGAACAACCTGGAGTGGCTGTTCCCGTTGAAACCAAAGGAAGAAGGAAGGCCCTGATGCTAAGCTCGGCAGCCCCGCCCAGCCTCAGCCAGCAGGTGAGAGATGGCCTCCGGGATGGAGACGGGCATGGGCAGCCCTCTCACCGCCTTCTCAGCTGGCCCCAGGCCTGCCCCCCCCCCCAGAGCTGCTCCCGACCCAGCGCCAGGCCCGCCGTCACGTCGGCTCACACAGCCAGTACTTTCGGCAGGGCCTGCAGGATGGACCTGACCCCTTGAAATTCTCTTGAATGCGCATGATTACGTTTTTTTAAGTTAGTTGTCAACATTTTTTAAACGTAGAGTTTTCACATTAAAAAAAAAAAAATTCAGATGTCTGTCTTCTTTTAAAATGGAAAGTTCCAATAACAATGGGCTTAGCTTTCCACCTGTGACAGAAGTGCTGAGCAGAGGCCGCTCCCTGTAGGTGGGATATGCCCCGCCCCAGCCATCTGTGTCTCACACCCACCTGCAGCTCCTCTCACAAGTGGGTGTGAGACACAGATGGCTGTGTCCTCCCTGGGGAACATGTGCCCTTAGGATCCCTGACCTGACCCACCTTCCAACCCAGGAAGGGCCACTCTGGGCCGCACTTGTGGGCGAGGAGGCAGGAAGACAGGGTCTTGGGGGTCGGAGTCCTGAGGGTGAGCCCCCGCACTGCCAAGACTGCTCAGGCCTTAGCTTCCTTTTTTTTTCTCTTTAAAGTTTCATTTAAACTTTAAAGTTGAAGAAACAGTAGTGTTCTCTAGGATTTTTTGAGGCAATCATGTAGAATAGTGGATGTGGTCTGCTTCATAAAATACTGAGCAAATGCTAATTATTTGGGAATGTGTCATGTGGTGGAAGAAAGGTTTGGGAATCCAGCAAATGATTCTTAAAATACTGACCACTGTATCCACATTTCAGAGCCTTAGTTTTCTCTTGTGAGAACAGGGTGAAGAGCTGAAAAGCACTGGGTGCAAGTGCATGGTCTGGCTCAACCAGCTTTCCTTCTCTGCCTGTGCCTCCCAGATGAGGGAGAGTGTGGGCCTGTGTTGGGAAACAGGACGTAGGGTTGGTGGGGACAGATCTCAGACGGTGAGATGGGGCTTCTGTGAACACCAGCCCACATTCCTACAGCCGTTGCCCAAGGGTGATCTTGTTCCCTCTTCCCCTCCCTCCTACCCATCGTGAAGCCTCTCATCTGCCCACCCATCTATGCATCCATCCATTCATCTGTCTATCCATCCATCCGTCCATCCATCCATTCATCCATCTTCCGTCCACCCATCCATTCTTCTGTCAATTTGTCCATCCACCCATCTGCCTATCCATCCTTCTATCCATCCACCTATCCATTCATTCATCTGTCCATCCATCCATGCATCTGCCCATTCATCCATCTGTCCACTTACCCATCCATCCATTCATCTGTCCATCCATCCACCCATCCATCCATCTGCACATCTACCCATCCACACATCCGTCCATCCACCCACTCATCTATCCATCCATTCACCTATCCATCCATCTTCCCAACTACCCACCCACCCCCGCATTCATCCATTCATCCACCTACTCATCCATCCATCCATCTATGCATCCACGCACCCATCTATCCATTCATACATCCATCCATCCTTCCAAGGCTGCTCTCTGCCCCTCCAAGCTCTGCACAGAAGTCCCCAGAAGCCACAGCATCAATCAGTAGTTGTGAGTTGAGATGCCTTCAGGGGCCAGACAGGTAACAAATGAGAGGAAAGGGGCCTTGGGTGAAACACTGGGGAGTGACAGCAACCGTGGAAAACTAAAACGTGTATGCCCAGGCTGTGAAGGAATGCAAATTTGGCAGAAATGTTAAGCACTATCTACCAGTTAAAACCTACAAAGAGGCAAAAATGTGTCTCTGGCCCTTTTGGAGCTGCCAGAACAGTGCTAGATGGTTGCTCCAGGTCTCCTGCAGAGAGAGCAGGGAATGCACAGCCCAGTTGGGCACCTGCACGAGGCCTGAACACCTTGGCTTTATGTCCTTCCCTGTGCCCTACAGTCTTGCGTTCCTCACTCTTAATTCTATTTTCTTTTTCTTAGATAAGCAAATATATGAATGCATTCTCTGCCAAATCCAACATTTCAAATCCTGCTGAAGCCTCTGGACCGCTCTCCTTCAGGGCCCCTCCCAGTTTCTCTCTTCCCATTTCCATCTGTATCTGTCTGTGCACGCCCTGGGAAGCCCAGGCCTGTGATGCCATGTGACATAAAACACGCCCTCAGCTCACCCACTCAGGGACTCCCTCCACGTCCGCATCGGCACGCTTGTTATGGGAGTGCTTTGAGGAAGTAGCCAAGGCCTTAGCGGAAAACCACCCGGGAAAGCTTTACCGGAGAGCCCTTCTCCGCGACAGCAATGCCTCGGCTCCCTGCTCATCAAACAAGGGCCGTTCTGCAAACGTTTCCACAGGAAATCACTAGGCATCCACCTGACGGCTGTGATAGGGCTCCTCTGACTTCTTTTTGTTTCCTGATCTTAAAAAAACACCTTTGAAGGGCACCTTTCTTCCGTTAATAATGTAAAAAAGATGCCATCGCCACAGTAAAATTCCCGGGACCCTCAGTTCTTTAGGGAGGAGCTGAGTGGCTGGTCTCGCTCACCAAAGTGTCTTGACTGTGATGGAACTTACACTGAGAAATTTCCCGTTTCTTATTTTTATCCTTGAATTCCACTGTCCATGAACGTTTTGAAGTCGCGAATGCGTATCTGCACATGCATGCTGCGTACATATGTATTTGGCTGTGTGGATATGTGTGTGTACACGTGTGTGTCTGTGTGCGTGCATGGAATCTCCTTCCGCACCTCCCAGTGCCCAACACAGGTCCATCCACAAAGGGTAGAAATCAGCCTTGTTGAATTAAACCCCTGCCAGCTCACCCCATCCTCATCGCCCCTATTCCCTACCACGGAGGGCTGCTGTGACGGTCACCCAGGGTCCATGCACCTGTGTGTCATTTCCTCCCTGACAGCAGAGCGTGAGGGCTCCATCTTCAGCGGACACCTGCAGATTGCAGTGTTCCCCAGCAGGTGGCAGCAGCCTCCCAACTGTCTCTGTTTTCCATTGCTGCTTCTTGGTTTCCCGTGTCTGTGCTCCTGGTCCATTTCTGTCTCCAGGGTGAGGCCAGTAAGAGCTGACTGGCGCCAGGCATGACTTCTCCATAAAATCGATGATGTCCTAGCAATAAGATTTCCTCAGCCTGCCAGATGCCAGACACTGTTCTGGGCATGTTACACACACTAACTCCTGGCCCCGAAACAGCCCTAAGACATCTGTCAGCATATCCATTTCATAGACGAGGAAACTGAGGCACAGGAGGTAAAGTCATGTCCACAGGGCTGGAGGCTGGAAAGCAGATCTGCTGGCATTCACACTGCCTTCCAGGGATGGGATTTGTTTTGGGGTGGTGGGGGAGCCAACATTGTGCTGGGAGACTAAAGAGTAGGATGAAGGGTTTCTTATCTGGGCTCGTCAGTTGTTTTTTTTTTGTTTTTTTTTGTTTTTTTTTTTTGAGGTGACAGTCTCCCTCTGTCACCCAGGCTGGAGTGCAGTGGCGCCATCTCGGCACACTGAAACCTCCAGCTCCTGTGCTCAACGATTCTCGTGCCTCAGCCTCCTGAGTAGCTGGGATTACAGGCGCACACCACCATGCCCAGCTAATTTTTGTACATTTCGTAGAGATGGGGTTTTGCCATGTTGGCCAGGCAGGTCTCAAACTCCTGCCCTCAGGTGATCCACCTGCCTCAGCCTCCTAAAGTCCTGGGATTACAGGCGTGAGCCAAACTGCACCTGGCCTGGGGCCATCAATTTTCGAAAGAAAAACCTTCACGTTTGTCACCCTTAAAGACCGGGGAGACCTATGGTCGTCCCATGGTTTCAGCAACGGAGGAAGGGCTCTGGCTCTGATTACAGACTTCCTGGGAGGCCTGTTTCACCTCTACACCTCATTCTGTGCCCTTTCTAGTTCTGGGGCAGATGGTTCCCCCTCTCCACATACTGCTTTGCCAGTCCCTGCTCTACTATTGATTGATTGTTTCATTCATTCATTCATTCATTCATTCTATATTTTTTGGTACCTGTTCCATACCAGGCACTATTCTAGGCTCTGAGACCCAGCGGAGACTCAATACCTGCTCTAGTGGGGATAGACAGTAAATATGATGCGTAAATAACACAGACATATTAGAGGGTGTAATAAGTGTGATGGAGAAAACCGAAACCAGGCAGTGGGGTGCTGCACTTTGAAGAAAGGGACCAACCCACGTAGGCCCCATGGAGAAGGTGATGTCTGAGCAAAGACTGGACTCCATCGTTTCGTCTTGCACGAATGTGTGGGTGTTTCCTGACTGCAGATGAGCCTTCTTGTTCTTCCCTGTTGAGAATATGAAGGAAGTGCCTGCTCCTTTACTGTGAGTGGAATGGGCTCCTGGGAGGGGCGGTGCATGTGCTCGCTGCTCCATCTTCCACCGGAAGCCCCCTTCCTGGGTTCTGTCGGTGTACCTGGGGCTGGGTGGGCTGTGCAGGGCTGTGCCATACCATGGGGCCAGCAGCCGGGCCCAGGCAAACCACATCCCCAGACAGGAGGGAGGAAGGGGCTTTCACCTCCAGCTGGGGGGCCAAAAGGTGCTCAGGAATGGGGCAGGCCATGATGGACTCCAGGAAAATCACTGCCTCTTTCTGGGCCTTGACTTCCCTCCATCTCCTTCCCTTGTTAGAGCATCTGGGATGCCCAGACAGCATCCCAGGCTGAGATCTCACAGGAACTGTAGATGGTAGGGGAGCTGGGTTTATGTGTTCTTTGAATTACCGCAGAGAGCAATGCAAGCATCAAGGCATCTGGAGGGAAGCATTTATGAACTCTCTGGGAAGGAGACTGGGAAAGGCTGGGGCCACAGCCATCTTCTCTTCTAACCCGGAGCCTAGCTCAAGATGATAGAAAGACAACCCACCACTCACTGGGCATGGTAGCTCATGCCTGTAATCCCAGCACTTTGGGAGGCTGACACTATTGAATCACTTCAGGTCACGAGTTCGAGACCAGCCTGACCAACATGGTGAAACCCTGTATCTACTAAAAACGGAAAATTAGCAGGGGTTGGTGGCACATGCCTGTAATCCTAGCTACTCGGGAGGTAGAGGCAGGAGAATTGCTTGTACCTGGGAGGCAGAGGTTTCAGTGAGCCGAGATCGCACCACGGCACTCCGGCCTGGGTAACAGAATGAGACTGTCTAAAAACGAAAAAACACAAAGACAAGTCACATCTAATAAGGGCTTGTCCCACCCTCTCTTTTCGTTCTCTGAGCAAGCTGAGAGACTGATTTCTAACCCCTGCTTTATAAAAGAAAACTGAGGCTCGGCGACAGCAAATGACTTGCCCGGGTCACTCATGAGAAATGCTAGAGACTGATCTTCTTGTCCCTTTGAATGGGGTCAGCGACACGGCTTGGATGTTTGTCTTCTCCAAATCTCATTTTGAACGTGATTCTCAATGTTAGAGGTAAGGCTTGGTGGGGGGTTGGGTGATTGGATCATGGGGGCATATCCCTCATGAACAACTTAGCACCATCCCCTTGGTGATGAGTGAGTTCTCACTGTGTCAGTTCACAGGAGATCTGGGCGTTGGTTTGTTTATTTTTTGACAGTCTGGTTCTGTGGTCCAGGCTGGTGTGCAGTGGCACAATCTTGGCTCACTGCAACCTCTGCCTCCTAGGTTCAAGCACTTCTCCTGTCTCAGCCTCCCAAGTAGCTGGGACTGTAGGCACACGTCACCATACCCGGCTAATTTTTGTATTTTTTTTTTTAGTAGAGGCAGGGTTTCACCGTATTGGTCAGACTGGTCTCAAACTCCAGACCTCAGGTGATCTGCCCACCTCGGCCTCCCAAAGTGCTGGGATTGCAGGTGTGAGCCACAAGGCCTGGCTGATGTGGTTGTTTAAAAGAGTCGGTATCTCCCACTTTGCTCTCTTCTTCCTGCTCTTGCCACGTGATGTGCCGGCTCCCCCTTCGCCTTCCACTGTGGTTGGAAGCTTCCTACACAGCCTACAGAACTGTGAGCCGATTAAGCTTCTATGTAAATCACCTAGTCCCTGGTATTTCTCTTTTTTTTAATTTTTATTTTTTGAGACAGGATCTCACTCTGTCACTCAGGCTGGCGCACAGTGGCACCATCACAGCTTACTGCAACCTCTGCCTCCTAGGTTCAAGTGATCCTCGTGTCTTAGCCCCCCCTAAGTAGCTGGGATTACAGGCATGCGCCACCATGCCCATCTAACTTTTGTATTTTTAGTAGAGATGGGGTTTTGCCAAGTTGGCCAGGCTGGTCTTGAACTCCTGGCCTTAAGTGATCTGCCCACCTTGGCCTCCCAAAGTGCTAGGATAACAGGCGTGATCCCAGCCCTGCCTGGTATTTCTTACAGTGACACAAGGACTAATACAGCGTTCTTCCTTAGGATGGAAGGAGAGTCCTTACTGTGGGGGTAACATCAGAAAAATGCTAGAACACTTTCTGCTGCAAGGGGGAGAAACCCACCTCAAACCAGCTTAAGCAAAAAAAGGAAATGTATCAGCCCATTGATTCAGTCAGGATAGGCAGGGTTATGCTGTGGTAACAAACAGCCCCATGGCAGCAGCTTAAAACAACAAAGGATTGATTTCTTGCTCACAATACATGTCTGTCACAGGTGAACTGAAATTTCAGTCTGTATCTCCTCATTCAGGCAGATGGAACAGTCACCATCATCATCTGTCTCTGTGACAGAGAGGGAAACACTCTAGGGGGCGTGGCAGTCATCTGAAAAATGCTCTGCCCAAAAGTGAGACTTACCACTTCTGCTCACAACTGGCTAGTCCCCGCCAGTCATGTGGCCCCATCTGGCTACAGAGGATCAGGAGGTACAATCCTGCTATGTGCCCGGAAGGCCAAAAGCTGGAAATATTTGGTGAACAGCATAATGACGTCTATACTCATGTATCTAAATGGTCCAGGAGAAAGGTGGATTCAGGCATGGCTGGATCCAGGAGCTCAAGAGCTATTACCAGGGTTATGTCTCTATCTCTCAGCTCTGCTTTCTTGTGTATTTCTTGCTACCTCTCCCAGTCCCCTACTTACAGCTCAGTAATCCCAGCAGAAAGAGAGCATGAACCAGCTAGGGTATGTCTGTCCCTAAACTGTGCTGTTGCCAGGGGGAAGGAATGTCCTATTGGCAAGGCCTGGGTCATGTAGCGACTCCCAGAGCAGGGGCAGCCACATCCCTGGGCTACTGCAGGGGCAGATGCAGCAGCACCCACAGGGGTCTGCTAAACCTTCCTAACCTCTTGATCTATGTGCTTTCCAGCAGAGCATGGTGAAAAAGAACTGAAATGGCACCAGGAGCCAAGAGTTCTGGTTCCAACTCTGACCACTCATTCAGTGTGTGACCTCAGATCATCAGCCTGTGCTGTGCCTTCATTTCATCTGTCAGATGGATGAGTCTGCTCCTCAGCGCCTGCAGACGGTGAGGTAAGGAGTGTGTCAGCTGGGAAAGTGCTGCGATGGGTCCCCCTTCCTCTTAAGTGAGGGTCCTTAGTGATTCTGGCGTGGTCTTTTGAAGGCAAGGAGCCGCCAGTCCCACTTGCTTCTGACCCTTAGTCAGACCTCCAGGCCTTTGTCCAAGCTCTTCCCTCTGCCCTAAATAGCTGGTACACTGGTACATCTAACAACTTCTATTTATTTTTTTTTTTTAATTTATTTACTTTTTTTTTTTTTTTTTTGAGACAGAGTCTTACCCTGTCACCCAGGCTGGAGTGCAGTGGTGCCATCTCTGCTCGCTGCAACCTCCGCCTCCTGGATTCTCCTGTCTCAGCCTTCCAAGTAGCTGGGATTACAGGCGTGTGCCACCACACCCAGCTAATTTTTGTATTTTTAGTAAAGACTGGGTTTTACCATGGTTTTACCAGGCTGGTCTCAAACTCCTGACCTCAAATGGTCCATCCACCTCAGCCTCCCAAAATGCTAGGATTACAGTCATGAGCCACTGCTCCCAGCCTCCTATTCATTTTTCAAAGTCCAACCAACACCACCACCTCCCTGAAGCTCCCTGGCCCTCTTGATGTGCTGTCTGGGTTACCATCAGTAAGTGAGCTGGGACTCGCTCATGTCGGCCAAGAGAGCAGATTGTGCATATCTCTTCCCAACTCTGTGTTTAGACTGAAATCAGGCACTTGAAATTACACCACAGAAACAAGCAAATGCTACAAATCAGACTTTATTGAGTGCCTACTAAGTGCCAGGCTGGGACTAAAGGCAGTGAACAAAATAGAGTTGCTGGCCTATAGACTTGTGTTTTGTCTTCACCTTTGTCTCCAGTATCTGTTTATCTCTGTCTAGCCAACCAACCATTCTTCCTTCAAACATGTTATCAAAGCCATGAAGAGTAATAGCAAAGACGTTTGCAGCAACCTAATATGATCCTTCTATCCATCCACACATCCATCCATCCTCCGTCCACTCTCCCGCCTACTAATCCGTACTTCTAGGTGAGCCAGCTTTTGTCTCCAACTTTTTTTTTTTAAGAGACAGGGTCTTGATCTGTGACCCATGCTGGAGTGCAACAGTGCAGTCACAAGCTCACTGCAGCCTCAAACTCCTGGGCTCAAGCGATCCTCCCACCTTAGCCTCCCAAGTAGCTGGGACTACAGGCAAGCACAACCACGCCTGGATAATTCTTTTAAAAATAATTTTTGTAGAGATGGGGTCTTGCTATGTTGCCCAGGCTGGTCTTGAACTCCTGACCTCAAGTGATACACCTGCTTCGGGCTCCCCAAAGTGCAGGGATCACAGGCATGAGCCACTGTGCCCAGCCTCCAACTTCACTCCCCCATGTTTATGAGCTGAGTTCCCTTCAAAGGCGGGATTATAAGGAGCCTCATCTGCTCCAGTCCAGAGCACCCCCCATCTGGACTCAGTCAGGCCCTCCCCAGCCATCTGTATTCCCCTCCCTCACCCAGCAGGCTCTAGGTGCAGGAGAGCTGTGCTGGTTTCCTGAGAGCCTGTGGCTCAGGTGGCACCTGCAGGTGGCTCCTGGAACCTGCTGCTCTCAAGAGGGTGTGAAACCACAGCACATCTGGACCCAAGAGTCCCTAGGGTGCAGGTGTCGGTGTAGGGGTGGTGAGAGCTGCTCTCCCATACAGAAGCTGTGCTTCCACTCTCTCGCTCCCATCCAAGTCTCACACCCCCCCCGATCCCAGGCTCACAGTCCCACTCTTATAGCCATCAGTATTCTAGAACCTTCCAGCCTCCTGCCAGGAACTGAGGACTCTCATGCATTCTCTCAGCGACCTCTCCTAGCTACCCCACTTCACAGATGAGTCATGAGGGAGCCTTCGACAGGACTGACTTCCGCTGACTTCCAACCCAACCCTGCTCCAAAAGCCAGAGCTGGCTCCCCCGGCACGGCCCTTCAGCCTGCAGTCTGGCCTTTGGGGGGGACAGCAGGACCGGGCCAGCGTGGGGGTCCTCCTCCAGGCTCCTAAGACTCCCCAGGGTGCAGGTGCAGGGGGTGGAAATATTTGGTGAATGTCATAATGACTTCCATTCTCATATCTAAATGGTCCGGGAGGAATGTGCTTTCAGGCATGGCTGGATCCAGGAGCTGAAGAGCTATTACCAGGACTATGTCTCCATCTCTCAGGCTCCAGAACTGAATCACACTGCTGCTGTAGCCTTGCTTGGTCTTCAAAAAGCCAAGCCACTTCTAAGATGGGTACCCTTTGGGGGAAAACAACATATTTCCTTAAAAAATGTGTGTGTGTGTGCGTGTGTGTGTGTGTGTGTGTGTGTGTGTGTGTAGAGAGAGAGAAAGAAAGGAGAGAGAGATGAGTTTTATGCAATACCTAGCACCTACATCTAGCTTCTATACTAAACTGATATTCAGTGAGGTGCCCTGAGAATGTTGCTAAGGGGCCGGCGTGGTGGCTCACGCCCATAATCCCAGCACTTTGAGAGGCCGAAGCAGGCAGATCATTTGAGGTCAGGAGTTTGAGACCAGCCTGGCCAACATGGTGAAGCCCGTCACTACTAAAAATACAAAAATTAGCCAGGGAATGGTGGTGCATGCCTGTAATTCCAGCTACTCGGGAGGCTGAGGCAGGAGAATAGCTTGAACCCAGGAGGCAGAGGCTGCAGTGAGCCGAGATGGCACCACTGCACTCCAGCCTGGGTGACAGACTGAGACTCTGTTTCAAAAGAAAAAAAAAACGTTGCTAAGAAGTATTTTCTTAGCTTCTTAATTCACATTTCAGCAGGTTCTGTGACAAATCATTGGCACACAACTTGACCTCCCTCTAATTCTCCAGGATGACGCTGGATTGAATTGTTGAATTGGGGCAGGGTGGGGGACCACAGCATGATGTGCGGCTGGAGGGCACTGCCTGGTTTCGGCCTGCACCCTCCCTCCACGAGTGCCACGGGGGGAGGGTCCCATGAGCCTTGATCTGGCACGTAAATGGTGTTTAATAAATATCTCTTGGGTGCACAAATGGAATGTTTTAAAACTTAGTAGCTGTCTCCAAGAGACGAGACAGACTGGTTTTAAGCCTGGAAACCCCCCCAAGTGGCCCTCTGCAGGTGGAACAGCCCCACGGGTGCCCAGGCTGTTGGGGATGATGGGTGTTCTCACCCCTGCCCACCTCCTGTGCGAGCGTCTGCTGTGGCCTCAGAAGGAAGGAAGCTGACGTATACTGAGGGTCTGCTCTGGGCTGCATACTATACACAGGTGACATCACCAGTTTCCCCCAGGTGCGGCATGCCTTCCGCACTATCCGGGCAAAGAAACTCTAGCCCAGAGAGGGGAGGCAACTTGGCTCAGGTAGGACAGCCAGAAGGTGTCAGAGTCGGGATTCAGACGTTCCTCCATGGGTCGCCCAAAATCTTCCCAACCTGGGGTGGAGTCACTGTGGGCTCACTGCAAGCTCTTTCTGTTCCTGCTGGGAGGTGATAAGGAACCATATGGACTTCTTGCAGCTCCTGGAGGCAGATGCTGGCGGGCCAGGCTTGGCCTCTGCCACAAGCAATGCCCTGATCCCACAAGGTCCTGGAGGGGCCGTGGACCAGTTTGTAACACAAGACCCTGGAAAGGAGGAAGGCTGTTGTCCTCTGTTGCCCACGGACACGTTTGCTGTGCACCCTGGTACACTCGGGTGAGCTCCCTGGGTCCAGAATGCATAGAGTACCATGGGCATTATCCAGGCCAGGCCCACCAGCACGTGCAATCACACACACACGTGGACGTGTCACTGTGCCCGCACCTGAGACACACACACACGCACCGACACACAAGCACACAGACATGCACCTACACACATGCACACACACATGCACATGCACACACACATATGCACACATGCGCACACATGCACACACATGCACCTACACACATGCACACATGCGTACACTCATGCACACACACATGCGCCTACACACACGCACCTACACATGCACATACATGCACGTGCACACACACAGACACTGTAAACATCACGCTGGGCCCATCTGGGAGCCCAAAGGCTGCAGGTGTCTTCAATCACAGCCCAGGTGACCTTGACTCTGGCTCAGGGCCCAGTAGCCAGTGGCCAGCTCTGGACAGCCAGTCAGCCTCACTAGCTGGCCTGGGGTCCAGGGCTCGAGAGTGGCGACGGAATGACCACCCACTGGCCGAGGTAGCTCCGATGGGGGGGCCTTCGCCCCAGGGACTGGTGAAGTCACACTCCACAGGGCTGCTGCAGTCAGAGCCCATGAAGCCACTGTCAAACGTGTCCATATCCAGGCCGGCTGGGGGCAAGCCTGCCTCACTCTCTAAGGCCCCTCTGGGTGACCAGCCACCCCAGGGCAGTTCCCCAGCCCAGTCCTCCCCATCTGCAAGGGGTGGCTTTAGTCTGTCCAGGAGGCTTCCCAGGGGCCCTCCTAGCCCAGGACTGCCAGCCAAGACACAGCCACAGGGGAGGACTGTGGTGCCCACATCTAAGAGTGTGTCCTCTAGGCCTGGGCTGGGCTCAAGGCTGGCCTCCAGATCCAGGGCTGGGTAGCCGCCATCCTCACAGCTGCAAGGCCCGGCGCAGAGCCCCTCTGCATCTGGCACAGTCACTGTGTCGAGGGACAGCAGGCCGTACAGCCGGCCCCCCTCCTCGATGTAAGCTGAGCCTCCTGAGTTCTGGGCCGTGGCCCAGGAGCTGGGCTTGGGTGCGCTGCCAGACTCTACCAGCTCTGCCGGTTCTCGCAGGTCCATGAGCTGCAGCCTCTTGGCCGGACTCCGTGGTAGGTGGCAATGGTACCCCTCCAGGGCTGAGGGCACCTCAGGGCTCCAGGGTCCCAGCTCCAGGATGGAGGCGGTGAGGGGTGCACCCACCCATTTCTGTGAGAGAGAAAAAGAGAGTGAGTCACAGTACAGGACGAGGGTAAGGCGAGGGTTTACTTACTTTTTTACTTTTATTCTTTTGAGACAGGCTGACTCTGTTGCCCAGGCTGGAGTGCAGTGGCACCATCTTGGCTCACTGCAACCTCTGCCTCCCAGGTTCAAGCGATTCTCCTGCCTCAGCCTCCCAGGTAGCTGGTACTAATAGGCATGCACCACCACACCCAGCTAATTTTTGTATTTTTAGTAGAGATGGGGTTTCACCATATTGGCCAGACTGGTCCTGAACTCCTGACTTCAGGTGATCCACCCGCCTTGGCCTCCCAAATTGCTGCGATTACAGGGGTGAGGCACTGCACCCCAGCCAAGGTGAGGGTTTAAACTGACAGAAAGACATAGATGCAGAGACAAAAAGACATCAATAGAGAAAGAGACATGAAGACAAAGACACTGAGAGAGAGGCGGGAGAGAGAGAGAAAGAGAGAGAGAGAGGGAGGGAGGGAGGAAGGGAGAGAGAGAGGGAAGGAGGGAGGGAGGGAGGAAGAAATCGGGACCATGATGTGCTCCCACCATAGCGGGGGTCCCCACTGGTGTCCCCCTCCTACTCTGGGCCTCAGTTTCCCCACTCATAGAAGGGAGTTGCTACCCTAAGTAGCCTGACCATTCAGACAACTGGTGGCCCCATAGCCCAGGCAGGGGCTAAGATTCCTGAGGCAAGGAGACATGAGGGCAGGAGGGCCTGAGGTCTGAGTGACACCTGAGCCATCTCCTCCTTTCCCTCCTCCTTGAAGTTTCTTGAAACCCAGCACTCTGCTGGTTTCTGTGTCCCCACCAGACAGACACTTGGCCCCGGGCACAAGTCTTGTCTCTTCCATCCATGGCTGTATCCCCAGTGCCTAGCACACAGTAGGTGCTCAATAATTGTTTATTAACAAAATGAATGAGTGGAGTGAATCAGTGAAAAGCCACTTGGAAAGGCTTTTGTACTCTTTGAGGATAAAGGGTGTAGGTGATGCTGGCTGAGGCAGTGGCCCTTAAACTTGAAGGACCCTCCTTCCCTCCCCTGCCAGGACTCCCACTCATGACACCAGAATCCCCGTGCAATTGTCAAGGAAAATCCCTGAGAATGGGAATCTCCCTGTTTTGAGATCATCTTCCTCAAAAACTCATCTCAGAACCGTCATGTGGCCACCGCCACTGATTCGAAGTCACGTCTCAGCTGTGTGCCCTTAAGCCAATTACCCTCTCCATGCCTCAGTTTCCTCATCTGGAAAATGGACCTAATTATAGCACCCACCCATAGGGTTGTCGTGAGGGTTAAGTGAGTCACTGTATGTGATGCTCCTAGTGGACTCCCTGGTATATAGCAAGTGCTATATGAGTCTTGGTAAAAATCAACCCAAAATCAATGTGATATTTGAGCTTTAGGGAAGAGGAAAGGATGGGTTTTATGTGGGTTGGAGTCCAGGTTCCTCCCTGCCTGTTCTGAGCCTTGGCCTCCTCATGGGTGCCCCGGGGGCAGTGGAACACCCACTCCACGGGGGCTGCTGTGAGCATGAGAACGAGTGAGGCAGGAAGGGTGTCCAGCGCAGCACCAGCAGACAGCAGGAGCCCAATCAATGCTCTAGGTCTGTATTGTCTGACTTTCAGGCTCAGCTGCAGCAGGCAGGACTGCCCCTCTGTCACCACATCCTCTCTGTGGCAGCCCCTCCCACTGATGCAGGGTGGGTGACACAGCTGTAAATGGGCACAGACAATCCTGTGGGTGCTGGTGGGTGGTGGTGAGGTCGAGGCTTGGCAAAGATTGGTGCGTTTTGCTCCAGAAGGCCAGACCCTTCCCAGAACCCACTCCCTCTCCAACCCAGATTAAGGGCACCTGAGAAAGGACTAGGTGGGTCGGGGGGGGGCGGCAATCTGTGACTTGAGACCACCAGCCTCACTCTGTCTCCCAGTCTGGCTCCTTGCGCTGGGCAATGTTGCGTGATCTTGTTTAACTTTTCTTTTTGATTTGATTTTTTTAAGACAGCGTCTCTATCTGTTGCCCAGACTGGAGTGCAGTGGTGTGATCGTAGCTCACTGCAGCCTAGGAACGATCCTCCTGCCTCTGCCTCCCAAGTAGCTGGGACTACAGGCATGCACCATTTCGCTTGAATGATTTTTAAACTTTTTGTAGAGATGGGGAGGCAGAGTGGTTGTAGGGGGTCTCCCTATGTTGCTCAGGCTGTTCTCAAGCAATCCACCTGCTTTGGCCTCCCAAAGTGCTGGGACTGCAGACATGAGCCACCGTACCAATTCACCCACTCACAGTCCTGGCAGTGAACTCTCCCTGCAGAACTGGGCATATCTCAGGAGTGGCAATGGTCTGGCAGTATCCCAGGCAATGCATACTTTTGAAACTATTAAGCAGCTGAAGGATACCTGGTCAAATCTTGTTTAATTCTCCTGCCAATTCTGCACCACAAGAATAACTGTCTGCACTTGGCACGTGGGGAAACTGAGGCCTGGCTTGTGGCTTGACTGAGATCTGGATGCTCTAGGCCTGTGGGGTGAGACTGGGGGGCCTGGGGTGAGGGGAGATGGGGCTCCTGAAGAGGAGGAGGGGCTCATCACAGGGTGGGGTGCTCACCTTGAAGTCTCCTCCGTAGCACTGGCACAGAGGCAGGAAGAAATTCTTGGGGCTGCGGATGACCCATGTCTTCTTCCACAGCCTGAGGGGCAGAAAGGGTGAGGCCCCTAACTCACCAGAGGCCAGCCTGGCTTCCCATTTGGACACTCCCCAAATTTATCCTACAGGAGCTTCTGAGTATCACAAGATGCAACCCAGGCGCCTCCCTCTTTCCCCAGGGCTTGGTTCTCCCATCTGGGAGCAGCGAGTCTCCCCTGCAGGCTCCTGAAGTGGTATTGAGGTTATGTTCTTGGCTGCCTGTGCTGTGCTGGGCAAATGCTGCCCCTTCTGAGCCTCAACTTCTTTATCTGCACCCAGGAGTGCACAGAGAGGCCATTTCAGAGGTGTGGAGTATTGCACCCACCTCTTCACCACCACCTGGTGGCCCCTGATGCTCGGGCTTCAAAGCTTAAAATCCACTGGACAAGATCACAGCTGTGGTCCCTGTTTAAGGACCCAGAGTTTCAATCCCAATTTCTCCACCTCGAAGCTGTGTGACTTTGGGCAAATTCCTTGACCCCTCCATGCCTCAGTTTCCCCATTTGTAAAATAGGGGCAACTGCAGTGTCTTAAGCTCATAGGGCTGCCATGGGAGTGAAGTGAGTGCCCTGCACGGTGTCCAGCATGCAGTGGCTGTGAGCTGGTTATTATCCCGTCACTGTCATTGTGGTCATGATGACAGGCATGTTCTCCAACCCTGGGTGTGCCATAGAGGGGCAGCGGCCCAGCCCGACCACCTCCCTGCCTTCCTCATGGCCTCACCTCCACACTGGGTGGGTCTTCTGGCCCCAGAAGACAGGAATGAAGACTATGACAAGCAGAAGGAGAAGCAGCAGGTGAGGGTTCCAGCCTTCCTTTAACTCTGGGAAGGAAGCAAAGAGTTAAAGGGCACCAACTCTACCAGAGGCCACGTGGGGTGGGCATGGTGGGAAGTGGGTCTGGGGTAGAGTGGAAAGGGGTGGGAGAGGCTGCTACTGCTAGTGTCTTGAAGTGAGGTGGTTCAAATCTTGTTCTCATTGCTCATCCCAGAGAAGTAACTTCATTTCTCTGAGCCTCAGTTATCTCATCAGAAAAATGGGGCTGTTCCCACTTCAGAATTAGGGGTATCAAATGCCTAACAGAAACAGCAGCAGCTGGCATCCAGCACAGGGCCTGGCCAGCAGAGGCTCTAGAAATGGCACTGAAGGGCTACATCTGGGGATGAAGAACTGAACACCTCCCAGCTGTGCCAGAAAGCTCAGGGCTTAGCGTGGCTAGACCAGGACAAGATTTGGTACCAGGAGTGGGGTGTCCATCCCAGCTTCACACCTACCCTCTGACTGGGTCTGAAAGATGACCGGGTCACTCCACTCACTCCAGGTCCCCTGGTAAGAGGAGCCAGGCATGGGCCCTGCCCCCACCTGCAGCTCATAGCTCAAGTCTTTGCGGAACTCCAAGGGGAGGAGGGAGACACTTCTCGAGTACACTGAGATCAGCTTTCTCCTTGGACTCAGCCAGTACAAGGAAAGGATGCACCAGGTCAGGCTGCAACCAGGCCAGCCCCTGCCTCCAGCAGAGCCACCTCTTTCCCAGCTTCCATCAGAGGGGCTGAGCATCTCTTTTCTTCCCACAAGAATCAGGCTTATGCCTGAGTAGCCAGACTCAGGCATGGGCAGCACAGACTCACCAGCACTGCCTGGCCCTTGCCTGTGATAGGATGTTCTGTTTGATTTCTCTTTGATTCCAATTCACCCATTCACCGTCCTGGCAGTGAACTCTCCCTGCAGGACTGGGCATATCTCAGGAGTGGCAATGGTCTGGCAGTATCCCAAGCAATGAATACTTTTGGAATTCTTCAACAGTTGAAGACCCTCTCAACTGATGCATTGGTATAAGTTTCAATACATCAATTGAGAATGTCTTCAACTGTTGAAAATTCCAAGAGTTGACATACTGACATTCCCAACAGTGGGCATTTCTAGAAGTCTTTAACTACAGACATCCTAGCAATAGATACCTCTGGAAATCTTCCACTGGGAACTTTCTAAAGTATGGTACTCATGGACATCTTCAGCTGGGGCCATTCTAAAGGATGGGCAATCCTAGAACTCTTCAGCTGTGACTGTTCTATCATTATTACTATTTTTATTTTTTAGAGACAGGGTCTCACTTGTGACTATTCTAAATAGTGGGCTGGAAGGACACCTCTCAAAGCCTTCGTGTTTGAAACAATGGGCCCTCTAACCCTGGACTTTTTTTCTTTTTTGAGATCGAGTCTTGCTGTTTTGCCAAGGCTAGAGTGCAGTGGCACAATCCCAGTTCACTGCAACATCTGCCTCCTGGATTGAAGCAATTCTCCTGCCTAAGCTTCTAGAGTAGCTGGGATTACAGGTTCATGTCAACATACCCACCTACTTTTTGTACTTTTAGTAGAAACAGAGTTTCGCCATGTTGTCCAGGCTGGTCTCAAACTCCTGACCTCAAGAAATCCACCTGCCTTGGCCTCCCAAAGTGCTGGGATCACAGGTGTGAGTCACCACACCAGGCTGGACCTTTTAATCACTGATACTTCTGGAACTCTCCAACTATGACCATTCTAAGCAAGTGGGAATCTTCCAGATTGCTGCATTCTTGAAATTTCTTCTATTGTGACTACACTAGACCTGGGGTGGAGCCTGGGGAAGGGACAGTCTCTTTGGCATGCTGACAGTGGAGGGGACAGGCATGGAGAGGACAGATTATTCAGGGGTCTCCTACCTTGGGGAGAAGTGAGGGGAGGGAGGATGGCCCGCTGTAAGGGAGTGCTCGCACCCTTGGTCTCTGTTCTTGGCCATGAATGACGTTGCTCGCCCGTCTCTCCCACACAGATGCCCTTGCACTCCCTTCTCTCCCCTCCCCTTCACCCACTTAGCTGCACTGATCCCCACATTCCTCACCACAGCCCAGGGGTCTCCCCGGTTCCTGTACTGCAGCTCATACTGAAGCTTGCCCTTCAGAATGAAGAAGTCAGGGTCTTCGTAATCTGAACGCCAGGAGATATTATACTGTCCTGAGAAGGTCACGGTCACGTTGAAAGGGGGAGCTGGCTTGACTGGGTGGAGAAACCCAGGAAGAGAAAATGGCATGCGATTTCGCTGCATGTGAAAAGGATTTGCTGAAGGGAAGAAGTCCTATCTGCCCCCGGCCCTGCCACCATGCCTGACCCATCATTGATGAGATGGAGACAGACAACCCTGAGAGACTTTGCGCAAAGTACTCCTGACTCCGGGCTTCCGTGTATTCTTCTGGAGCCTGAGAGATTTAGACTTGATCAGGATTGCAAACTCGGGGGCGGGCAGGTCACAGAGATGGGTGAAGCAGGTTTAGGCATTGTGAAGAAATGAAAGTGAAAAGTGAATGGCTCCAGCAACAGAGAGCGGTCAGCTTTTCTAAGTTTTCTAGGGAAGCACACACATGCACACGTATACACACACACACACACGTATACACACACACGCACACATATACACACACACGTACATGCACGCAAGCACATGTACACATGCACATGCACACACACACACATGTGCACACCCACGCGTGCCCACACACGTACACACACGTATGCAAGCACATGTATACATGCACACACATGTGCACACACATGCATGCACACACATGCATGAATGCACACACATACACATGCACGCACACACACATGCACGCGTGCACACACACACACACACACACACACACACATGAAATCTGAAATCCTTTCTATGCACCGAAGGGCAAGTTTCAGTATGAGCTGCCGAATGGGAAACAGGAGACCCCCGGAATTATCATGTGAAATCTCACAAGGATTTTTTCCCCTTAGAGACACACTCTCACTGTGTTGTCCAGGCTGGAGTGCAGTGGTGCGATCATAGCTCACTACAGCCTCAACCTCCTGGGCTCAACCCATCCTCCCACCTCAGCCTCCCAAGTAGTTGGGACTACAGGTGGGTGCTACCACACCTGGATATTTTTTTTTCTATTTTGTACAAACAGGGTCTCACTATGTTTGCCCAGGCTGGTCTCAAGCTCCTGGCTTCAAGCGATCCTCCCACCTCCGCCTCCCCAAATGCTGGAATTGCAGGTGCAAGCCATTGTACTCGGCCTATCTTAAGTTTTAAAGTTAACTCCCCATTCAAAAATGTTCTGAGCAATGTGCTGGCAGATCCATTCATTTTCCATTTCTGTTCTAAATGATGGTATCATTTTCTCTCAACCCCAGCTACTTCAAGAAGTTGAAGACTCTTCTTAGCATGAATGCTAATGGTGAGGGTTGCCATTTACTCAGAGCCTGCCTGGCTGCCCTGCTCTGGGCAGACACCCCACAGTGGCTCTGGGAGGCTGATCTGATGGTCCTCATCTTTCAGCATCTCCCAGCAAGGGCAAGGGCCAACCCCTAGGCCATAACAGTGAGTTTCATGGACAGCCCCAAGATGAAGGTCAAAGCTGGCATTCTCGTTTTGCTCCATCTGAAGGACATTCCATGGACTTGAGCAGAACACAATATGTTAAGGGCCTTAAATTCCTCTCTTGTAAAATGAGCCCAGCTTCTGTATCATGAAACTTCAAGCTCAAAGGGATGAAGCTACTTAGCAGGAGGCAGTAACTTCAGGGGAACCAAGTGACAAGTATCTACTAGTGTCAGAGAGGAGTTGCAGGCCTCTGGCCTCATCTTCTCCACTTTCTCTCTTTGCCTCCCTCCCCCCCTCCCTTCTTGCCTCCCTCCCTTCCAGCCTCCCTCCCTCCCTTCCTCCCTCCCTTCCTTCCTCCCTTCCTGCCTCCCTCCCTCCCTTCCTTCCCCCCTTCCCCCCCTCCCCCCCCCCTCCCTCCCTCCCTCCCTCCCTCCCTCCCTCCCTTCCTCCCTCCCTCCATTCCTTCCTCCCTCCCTCCCTTCCTTCCTCCCTCCCTCCATTCCTTCCTGCCTCCCTCCCTTCCTTCCTCCCTCTCTCTCTTCCTTCCTTCCTTCCTTCCTTCTCTCCTTCCTTCTTTCCTTTCTTCCCCTCCATCCCTCCTTCCCTCCCTCCCTCCCTCCCTTCCTTTCTTCTCTTTCTCTCTCTCTCTCTCTTTTTCTTTCCTCTCTTCTTTCTTTTCTTTCTTTCTTTCTTTTATTTTGGACACAGAATCTTTCTCTGTCACCCAGGCTGGAGTGCAACGGCATGATCTTGGCTCACTGCAACCTCCACCTCCCAAACACAAGCGATTCCATGGCCTCAGCCTCCCAAGTAGCTGGGACTATAGGTGCATAGCACGCCTGGCTAATTTTTGTATTTTTAGTAGAGACGAGGTTTTCCCATGTTGGCCAGGCTGGTCTTGAACTCCTGACCTCAAGTGATCCGCCTGCCTCAGCCTCTCAAAGTGCTGGGATTACAGGCGTGAGCCACCACGCCTGACCATCTGCTCCACTTTCCATCTGCCACCGTCTAGCACTCCGCACATCTCACCCTGTGATGTTTTTACCATGTGCTCCCCTCGCTGGACTCTCAGCTCCTTGTAGTGGAAGTTTTGTCCTCTGCATTTAGTCTGTGCCCGCAGTTCCTAGAACACAGCCTGGGACACAGCAGGCCCTCAATAAATATTTGACAAGTTAGGCTGGGTGAGGTGGCTCACACCTAAGGGAGACTGAGGCAGGAGGACTGCTTGAAGCCAGGGACACAGCAAGATCCCAACTCTACAAAAAAATTTAAAAATTTGCCGGGCACGGTGATGTGCACCTGTAGTCCCAGCTACTCAGGAGGCTGAACTGGGAGGATCGCTTGAGCCCAGGAGTTCCAGGCTGCAACGGGCTGTTATATATTCATATACATTTGTCAAATTAACAAATGAACCTTTCAAGGCTTCCAGAAAGGAGCTCTGAGGCTGCCTGATCCTGAAACATGGCTGAGGGCTCCCACTATGCCCCAAGGTGACAGAGGTGCACTTTTTTTGTTGTTTTATCTTGTTTTGTTTTTGTTTGGTGGGGATGGAGTCTCGCTCTGTCGCCAGGCTGGATCTCAACTCAGTGCAACCTCTGCCTCCCGGGTTCAAGCGATTCTCCTGACTCAGCTTCCCAAGTAGCTGGGACTACAGGCACACACCACCATGCCCAGCTATTTTTTTGTATTTTTAGTAGAGACAGGGTTTCACCATGTTGGCCAGCATGGTCTCGATCTCTTGACCTTGTAATCTGCCAGTCTTGGCCTCCCAAAGTGCTGGGATTACAGGCGTGAGCCACCGCGCCCAGCCGAGGTACACATTTTACAGAATGTCACGGTGATCACCGGGTTATTGCTATTGCTGTTCCAGCTATGGGATGTATGTGACTGAAATCATTTCTAACCCCTCTTTTGTCTTCCCTGGGGCAGGTGGAGGCTGGCTCAGGGCTTCCCTGTGTGGCCTGGGTGAAGATCAGTCCCAGTAGACACCAGCGTGCTAAGAACTGCCCCGTGGGTGCTCCGGAGATGTTTGCAAAGCCTGGGGATCGGGAAGGGGGCTGCTCAGCCCAGCAAGGCTTGGGCCCAGGAGGAAGAAGGGACCCTGAGTAGGAGGTGGTCAGAAAATCACTTACTGGCTGGGTGTGGTGGCTCAGGCCTGTAATTCCAGCACTCTGGGAGGCTGAGGCGGGTGGATCCTGAGGTTAGGAGTTCGAGACCAGCCTGGCCAACATAGTGAAACCCCGTCTCTACTAAAAATACAAAAAATTAGCTGGGTGTGGTTGTGAGCACCTGTAATCCCAGCTATGTGAGAGGCTGAGGCAGGAGAATCGCTTGAACCCAGGAAGTGGAGATTGCAGTGAGCCGAGATTGCACCACCGCACTCCAGTCTGGTGACAGACTCCGTCTCAAAAAAAA